TATTAGTTGACTTGTAAAATAACCACATAAACTCATGATTCAAAGCCAAACTAATGTTTTCGAATTGTGATTTACCCGCGCTGCATCGCGCGGGTACACCACTAGTATATATATATATATATATATATATATATATGAACATATATGCATGGTGTATGTATGCATGCATGTGGGAGTGTGAGAAGCCGACTTTCTTGTTAAGGAAAGTTATAAAAGGAGGGTTAGCCTCCATTTTCACTCTTCTTGCCTTTTTTAAAAGAGAAGTGAGTGATTTAAATGAGAGATTGATCGGATTGCTTTTATCAGAATTTCAAGAAGTTGGTTTTCAAAAAGAGTATTCAAGGTGAGTGGTTAAAATGTTTTGAATCTCTTTGAATTGCATATTGAATTTAGTTTAGAAAGTTTACCGGACTTAGCTTTAAATCGGGTAAGGTGTTGTCCGATTTATCTCTAAACCGCCCATAGTGTTGTATGATTTAGAGTTGGTCAGAATTTGATATATATATATATATATATATATATATATATATATATAAATCGCTTGGTATATTGTCTGGATTGATAAACCGGACAAAGGGTTGAACGGTTTAAGGTTAAATCGGACACATTATGACCAGTGTAGCCTCAAATCGAGCATAGTGTCATACGATGTGAGTGTTAGTGGGATTTGAGAAATATAAATCGATTAAGAATATTGAATAGAGAAGTAGAAATACGACCAAGAGGTGACCGGTTTATTTAAATCGGACAAGATCTTGAATATGTGTTGTTCGGATTGATAAATCGGACAAGACTTAAAGAGTTGATCGGATTAGTAAACCGGACAAGGACTTGTGTCGTCCGGATTTGTAAATCGTACAAGGGTATAAGTGTTGATCAGATTGGTTAAATCGGCCAAGGCTTGACCGGAGATGAAGTCCGGCCAAGTCTGTGTTGACCGGATTTGTCCATTGATTTATGTATCATTTATACAAATTATCATTTTAATAATCTTGTATAAAGAATGAGAATTTTGATAAAAATGATTCTGAACTAATGATATTCCATTAGGACATTTATGACTGCGGTCTGTTCTAATTGGAATTGTTTTGTAAAAGTTTTGATGAGGAAATAAGGGTGGCATATCAAAGAGAGGTGTACCATGGGATAAGGGTGGCATATCAAGGAGAGGTGTACCATGGGATAAGGGTGGCATATCAATGAGATGTGTACCTTTGGATATAAGGGTGGCATTTGTATGTGTGTTATGTGATATAACTCTTACTGTTATATCCTTTAAGATTACCGTGGTCTGGAATATTTATTTCTTTGTGATTTAAAGGTTTAGGATTAGCGTTATTATTGGAAATCATAGTCTGGATGTTATTGAGGAGGAAATAACAGGTTTGGCCTGAAACTTTGAATAAACCTTGTTTAATTGAAAAGGTTTAAAAGTGGCATTAAATGAAACCTGATTGGTTCAAACCTATAAAGGTTTGGAGTATATTACTTGAATAGCTGAATACTTGGCTTTGAAAAGTGAAAAGGTATTGATAATATGTTATACTTGTTCATATCTTTGTTTTATATATGAAAAGTTGTTTTATAAAGTTTTGGTGATTCACACCCTGCAATAACATAAAAAGGGAACTCACTAGACCTTTCGGTCTAACCCTCGTTTTGTGATTTTAAATATGTATTACAGGAAGTACAGACGGTAAGGGGAAGGGGAAAATGTGATATTTTCTTTTATACATATCTGCATGAAGATTTGATTATGTTATGTATAGTTTTGTTAGAAGAACGTGGAATAGTACAAGAATTGTATTTATGAATTTTTGGACCATGTATTCAGTACTGGTAGATTCTTGTACTAAGAGACCTATGTGGTGTATAAATATGTAATTCTTATGTATGAAGTACGTGTTACATGTAGTATGTGGTAATGGGTGTTACATCCATGGTCATCTTTAGAGACAACAAAGAAGCTGTCACCGAGTATCCTTCATATCTCGGGCAATACGGCTACAATGAATGGCTGGAGATTCGACAAGCCATTAAGAGTTCAAAGTCCAAGCACAAGCAAATAATCGAAGACCACCTGAAAGAACTCTTCAAGAAGGTGTCAAGGTTTGTTGGTGTCCCTCCTATGCCTGAAAAGCTGCCCACAAGAAGAAGACACCTTTTAGACCCTGATGATGTACCTTCTCATAGGAATGAACTTGAAACAAAGTTCTCCTTAGAGGAAATCCTAAAGGATAGAAAAAAATCCAAATACCTCAAAGTTGAACCTGAAACTGCCAACAAAGGGTCCTTACATACCCAACACTGTGCATGTGAAGCCTGAGTATGGATTCATTTTCGTTGACTATGATGGTGAATACTGCTTCCAGCGAGAATCTGAGCTCCACCTTTGCCAAGTTGACCATCTTGAATATCTTAGGTCGTGGTTCGACAATGACCTAGCTAGTGAGGTGATGAATCGCAAGATCAGAAAGGAGATGCTAAGACGAAAGAAGCTTGGCGAAGATGTACCAGGGTCTATCGACTTCAGCGGCCTAGTGTAGTTAACTTTTTATCTTGTTCTCCTTTCTTTTCTTTCAGTGTACAATCTATATGTAATAGGTCTAGAAATCACTGATGTAACACTTGTAATTATTCCAATGAACAATACAAAGTATTCTTCAGTGTCACTGAAAAGATCTCTGAAAAGAGTAATAGGGACAAGTATGTACGAGTTCCAGTTATCTTTCATTCACTGACAACTTTCAGTCAGTGAATATGCTTTCAATTTCAATTATATTTGTGTTCCTTTCTCTTGAACTTGTAATCCTTTACAAACTTAAGTAAACTTATATAAATAAACTGTATCACTGGAAAAGATCCCGAAATAGTTAAAAGGGTCATGTATTTTACTTGTATCTTTTCCTTACTATTATAACTTAGGCAATTTTCTTTATGTTGCTTTGTCATCATCAAATAGGGGGAGATTGTTGATCCTCTCTCTCATTGATTTCATGATGATCTCTTTTACCTATCAAAGAATAGTATTTCCGCTATTCAGTTTCAACGATCATCACTGAGTTTGTTCGGAGATCATTGAAAGTGTATTGTAATTCCTTCAGAGACGTTATACTTCAAGAAGACAAAACTCAAACCACAGTTCCTTCAGCAATATCGAAGACAAAAACTGAAGATTAGAGATCAATGCGTTAGTGATCTGAAGCAACATTCAATGATTACAAGCTTGTTTACTTATATGTGGAGTCTGCACAAGTTTCAGCAAATACTAAAGAGACCTTCCAGCGTCATCCCAGTATTCAGCGATCAAATGAAACTTACCATGCACGATTGTTTTTGTCTTGTCCTTTCTCACACAAAGGACAAACACATAGTTTTTCTAGAGTATAGTGCAGTACGGAGCCACTTCATTGACTCTATAGTGCTTACCTACTTTATGAAAAGAGGAATGTTCATATACAGCCAAAATGACCGTTTACTATAGCAAAGGACAAACTTTCTTCCAAAAGCTTGACACATGTTTTGTACCTTTTGAATTGAATTTAATGCAATGGGTATAAATAGTTGAGTGCTCTCACTCAGTTATAACTCTTC